TAAATATTCAAGAGATGAGAGTTAAAATATGTGGGTGGACCTTAATGCTCATGATTTGAGCATTAGGTTCCCAAAGAAAAGTCACTCAAAGAAAGAAAATAGAAGTAGGAAGAATAAGAAAAGCATTAAACGCTAAATAATGAAATTAATCACATAACATTAACAACCTACAAATTAATTCAATAACATAAACAAATGAACATAAAAGGGTTTAGAATTTACCCCAATGAAGCTTTAATGCAAAAATTCAAGCTAGGGAGAAGAGATGAGTCCAAAAACAATTAATTTAAGTGATTAACTAAGAGTTTTAATGTGATTAAGTGTTGAAAATGCTACTGTTTAAGTTCTAGAGCAATTTTGACAAAGTTTCCTTAATGTTTTTTCTTGCCCGAATACTGTTCACAAGGTCTCAATTTATAGAGATTCTGGGAGCAAAGATAAGTCGTGCGACTTATCAAGATAAGCCGTGAGGCTTATAAATAAGCCGTGCGGCATATAAATAAGCCGTGCGGCATATATGATGACACGGTGTGTCAGAAAAATGGCCAAAGCATTTTGGTACAAAAGATAAACCGCGAAGCTTAACTGAGGGACACGTGTCCCAGAAAATATGTCGTACGGCACATACATATGTCTGTTAGTCCCGATTAGTATGGCGCATAGTTCTAGAAGGGGGGTTGAATAGAACTGTATAAGATTTTAAAATTCTTTTTCAAGAACAACTTATTTCAATACAAGGAAACTATGAGAAATTCATTTTTAAAGAAGTATACTGATTCCTTGTCTTCGTTCAGTATGATGGATTCCTCAGTGAGGTGCTTGTTCGAACTGAGTGCTGTTGCGCTGCTTTTACTGAAACTTCAACAGATTGATCAGTAAACAAACTTGCTCAGTATGCTGAGAAAGCTTACTGAGGGTTTAAGTAAATAGTTGGTTCAGTATATATATTTTAGTATGTTCAGTTTAACAGTTAAAGCATAATATATGAATACTGAAAGAGAGATAGAAATACTCAGTATGTTCAGTTTAACAGTTAAAGCATAATATATGAATACTGAAAGAGAGATAGAAATACTCAGCAGATTTATACTGGTTCGGGTACCGTCCCCTACGTCCAGTCCTC